GAATCCTTGCCTCCCTAACTGCCTGCCTGCCTGCTTGCCTGCCTACCTACCTACCTACCTACCTAAATAAATATTGATTTCCTTTGGTCAAAAGAATTGTACAAATGTCATTTTTATCTCAGGATGCTGTAGAATTGTTACATTTTGGAAGTGATTTTGGTAATAAAATTATAATTAACCCCTCACTCCATTGTTTCTGTTGGACTATAGCAACACCATGGAGCCATTGGTGTGGTTAGTTTTTAATCAATACTGGAAGTTGCTTCCACAACTTTGAGAAAACCAAAAATTTGAATTTATTCAGTTGGATTTTGTTTTTGTCCAGGTATTCCACAGTTCTGTTAATTAAACATTTCAAACCTGGATGGGAACACAAGATGATAACAGCATCGTACACATAAAGCAATAATGGGACATAAGGCATCCCCAGTTTTGGTGGATGACCCTCCACACTGGCTAGAAAGGGGACTAGGTCATTTATAAATAGGTTGAATAGAGAGGGAGCAAGAATGCAGCCTTGCTTCACTCCCTTGTTGGTTGGAAATTGATTAATTAACTCACCTTTCCAAGAGGCATGAACTTGACATGTTGTGCCTGAGTATAAAATTCTAATGAGGGAAAGGAGTCTTTTATCTATGCCCATATTTTCATGTTTTTCCCAGAGAAACTATCTACTGAATTGAAAGCTGCCTTTAAATCAAGGAAATCTACGTACAATTTAGATTTTTCATGTTTAAGCATTTTGTTAATAAGATGCGAATGTATTAAGCAGTTATCTACTGTGGCCTTACCTTTCCTGAAACCAGCTTGCTCAGGGTGTAATGTTTTCTGGGAGGTGGGGTCCCCACTGATCACCAGGGTTGATTTGGCTGATCTGACTGGCTAGGCGGGTGTCCCCTTCCTCCCTCACCGCTCCATGTCTGTCCCTCCCAAAGCTGTGTGCTCGGTGGAAGAGGACAACCATCCCAGATAGAAGGAGTGGACCATTCTTCGGTCAAGGGTTTACGATAGCTGCGCTACTTGTTCTTGTCCTCTGCTCTTCCTCAGTAGCATGTTGGATGCCTTCTGACCTGAGGGGCTCATCTTCCAGCGTCATATCTTTTAGCCTTTTGTTTCTGTTCATGGGGTTTTCTTGGCAAAGATACTGGAGTGGCATTGCCAGTTCCTGCTCCAGGTGGATCACGTTTAGTCAGAACTCTCCGCTATGACCTGTCTGTTTTAGGTGTCCCTGCATGGCATGGACCATAGCTTCTCTGAATTACTCAAGCCCCTTCATCATGACAATGCAACAATCTGTGAAGGGGTTACCACACCGGTAACTGGGCCCCCACACTCAAATATTTGAAAAGAGCTAGGCTGATGCTATTGCTGATGCCTTTGAGCCTAGCACGTTCTTCCTATATAACCCTTCCTTCTCAGGTGCTTTTACAATTTTTAGTTAATGGAGTTACTGTATGTCCATTGGAGCCATACTGGTAACTGGGCCCCCACACTCAAATAATTGTATCAAATGCATCTTGTTAAGGGGTTTCCCTTATGTATAAGAGCCCTGTAGTCTTAGAAACAGAACAACCTCTGTTAACCTTATGAAACTCACTTATCTCTTTGAAAGGAATCTAACAGCTATGTTTTTTCAAAGGCTTTCCTCCTTCTTTATACCTGTATAATAACAATAACATTACAAAGCATGAAATCTGGCCTGTCTTTGCCCTGCAAATTGACCATCCAGAGGCCGTGTACAGGAATCCCTGAGTGGTAGCAAAGGCTGGATGACTGGAAGCCAGAAGAGAACAGGAGAACATACATGGCCATATTACTTGCACTGCCAATGGTCACTACCCTGTCTGGTCCAAATGAATGTTTGTGCAGATCTCCTACCAGGAGACCTAGCAGTGGATGCAGTTAACCAATGCTGGCATTGAATCTCAAGGCCAACAGAGAATTACTCTTGTATGATAGTGAGGGACCTGTCAGGAGCAGAGATCTGCTTCATGAGCAGAACAAAGCAACTCACAGATATCAGAACACCAGTGGACACCTTAAGGGCTTCCTTGGCAAGAAGAGATTGAATCTTGGTATTGGACAGTGCTGGCTGGTGGACTTCCAGGGAGATGCACAGGCATTAGGAGAAGCTGCAGCGTGAAACAGAGGGCCATCAAAAAGCCTGAGCTATGCTCTGGGATGTGGTTGTGAAACTGCAGGACCTCAGAATGGAGCCCCACCCATGTCTTCAATCTAGATGACACCTCTTTACTCCCCAAACCCTCAGCCAGTGGAGACACCCCCCTCTAGAGAAGAGGAGGTTATTTGGGACCAGCAGCACAGATGAGGGAACCAAATTGGACAGAGGGGTAGGGCAGTTCCTGATGGCCAGCAAGGAAAGTGGCTAGGGATGGATATGGAGGTGGGGGTCAAACAAATTCACCATATAGGCAGTGGCTGCTTTATGTGTCAGTGCAATAGGGTCATGAGGTCTGCTGCAGAATGAAGGATTGTTGTTTGTGGACCCAAAGCATCATTGAGGATGCTGGGTACAGAAGATGGGATACTGGGAATGGAAGGAGAAAATGGACTGGTGGGGTCCCCGGATTTGTAGGTGGTAGACAAAGAAAGGTGCCATATCAGGCTGGACTGGAAGGTTGCTGTCTTTTGGCAAGAGCAAGTGTACTGGGAGCCTGCAAACATGAGCCTGGGAAAGGCCCAGTTGATGGGGGGTAATGTTATTATATGGGATGTTTCTAAACTTCCCCCCCTTTTATTTTTGCTTTATGTGTACTCCTAGTCTTTTTGTGACTGAGTGAACATGCTTTGAACATCCTGGTAAATCCTATCATGCCAAATTCTGTATTTTCGTTCTTGTTCTTTTGCAGCTTTATGAATACCTTCCATTAAATATCTCCTCCTCTTTCCTAGAGAGCTGTGTCTCATTCATGGATCCCTAAGCTGTGTTCTGAAACCAACAGGGAATATGTTCCCTCTGACATTGGAGGCACCCTCTTCTGTTGCAGGTCCAGTTCTACAGCAGCTGCTCCAGCATGGCCACCGAGGAATAGAATCGTGAAGTTGGAAGGGGCCTATAAACCTATTGAGTCCAACCCCCTGCTCCATGCAGGAATACAAATCAAAGGATAACTGCCAGGCGGTTGTCACATTTTTTTCTTGAATGGCTCCAATGTTGGAGCACTCAGCACCTCTCGAGGTAATTGGTTCCATTGCCATACTGCTCTAACAATTAGTTTTCCTGATATTCAATTGAAATCTGGCTTCTGTAACTTGAGCCCATTATTGCATGTCCTGCAATTACATAGGTATGACTGAGAACAGATCCAGCCCCTCCGCTGTATGACGGTCTTGCAAGTATTTGAAAAGAACGATCAGAACTCCCCTCAGTCTTCTTTTCTCAAGGCTAAACATGGTGAGTTCTTTCAGCCTTTCTTCATAAGGCTTGGTTTCCAGCCCCCTGGTCATCCTTGTTGGCCTCTTCTGAATTTGCTTCATTTTGTCAACATCCTTCTAAAGGTACAGTACTCAAGATGAGGCATAACCAGTGCTGAATAGAAGGGAACTAGTACCTCACAGGATTTGGAGACTATATTTCTGTTAATGCAGCCTGAAATTGCATTTACTTTTTTTTGTAGCCACATCGCACTGTTGGCTCATATTCACCTTGTGCTCTACAATGACTCCAAGATCCTTCTCACTTGTAGTATTGTTGAGCAGCCAGATATCCCCCGTCTTGTAACTGTGTATTTGATTTCTTTTTCCTAGGTGCAGTATAGTATTTTGCATTTATCCCTGTTGAATATCATTCTGCTGTTTTCAACCCAGTGCTCAAGCCTATCTAGATCATTTTGTTTATTTCTGTCTTCCAGGATGTTAGCTATTCCACCCAATTTTGTATCATCCACAAATATGATTTGCATTCCCTGTATCCCTTGATCCAGATCATTAACCAAAATACTGAACAGCTCTTGGACCAGGGCTGAGCCCTGGGATACCTCAGTTGTGACCTCCTCCCAGTTTGAGAAGGAGCCGTTAATCATCACCCTCTGGGTACGATTCTGTAACCGGGTATGCACTTGATCATTGTTCTCTCCAGCCTACAGCTAGTTAGCTTGCTAATCAGAATATCCATGGACCTCTGGGGACCAAGTGATTAAAATATGAAGGCATAAAGTTTCCACTAGACATACAAGGATTTCTGGTCAAAGTTCAAGTGTCCAAAGCAGACGTTTGCTATTCAGGGACATTCACACACCATGAGGGTCCTCCTTTTTTCTATTTCTAGTTCTATTCCACATTTTACCTTTTATAAAAATATTATTGTTAGCCTTCTTTTGCTGGCCACAACCTAGGCCCATCTGGGGTCATATAGATCTTTTACCTTGCATGGTCCACATCTGGGACATATAGACTCTCAGCATGGCCCGGACGTCTGCTGTTTCCCAATACAGGGATCTAGCACAGCTTGGCCATCATGAACATCTTCACAATTCCCAAATGGGACAGTACTACCCAGACACTGGGTATATGATATGAGAACCTGGTGTGGTGTTTGCCAATTTTACGCTTCAGGTTGTGCAGGAGAATACTGTGCATGAATGGAGGGAAATGTACTGGGGGGGGGAGAGGACTGCTGGTGTACTGCATTTTCCATCATCCCTTATAGCATGAGTCTGGTGTGACCCATATCATAAACGTGTGTAACACAATGCATGGATATTTACACAATGCAATTGTTTAACAGAATAGAGGCCAATAGATTTTGTTGGATGGAAGCTGGAAGCATGTCAGCTTTGAGAGTTTTTACATAACATGGTGTTTACAATGTCTGTTGTGTAATGTCACTTCACACTTGCTAACTTTATTTTTGTCTTTATTAATGGTAATAGTATCATTCAGATTTAACACCAAAGATAAAAATGTTACTTAACTGCATACTGTAATATTGCAGTATTCCCAAAACAGTGTGCTGTCTTTGATGAAATAACACCAAGGCTTCTCATCATCATCTGGATTTCTAAAGTAATAAGAGTGAGATAAATCCTTGCTTGTAAAATTACACAAACACTGGCCTTTGATACAAATTCTAGCCTTGTTTCTTCTCTTTCTCTTCATCACAGAGGCCCCTGAACTCAGGGCTTCAAGGATCTCCACTGTTCCGGAAGAGGGCAAAGCCTGGAGATAGGTATTTGGTCCAGAGAGTTTCAAAGTAGAGCTCTTGGAAGAAACCAAATCCTTAGAGAAGTGGTTCTCAGCCTTGGGTAATCCAAGCATTTTTTTTTTTTACTGTAATGCCCAGAAGCCTTCACCACCAGCCATGCTGGCAGAATTTCTGGGAGTTGCAGTCCAAGAATACCTGGGTTACCCAAGGTTGGAAACCACTGACTTGGAGCAACAGCTGTACACAACTCATTTTTACATACTTCCTGATGTTCAGGGGGTCACAACCATCCCACAAAATATCAAGCTATCAGATTAGTTGCCAGAAACATCAGGACAATTAACAAACTTCTTATTTAACATGAATTGTTGCTAATATCCAGAGTGCATGAAATATAATTGATCACCCTCCTGGAAGAAATAAATAGGACCTATAAAAACTGGGTTTATCAACAGCAATTGCTCTTATTTCTTATTTAGCTTCAAAACATGTACTGGAAAGTTTGGTAATTATCCTGATTTTTTTTATCTCGTGACAGTTGTTAATTTATGCACCACTACTGAATACATGAATTGAAATACATTTGGTACATTTTGATCTGGGACTGTGTATACTTTACGTGTAGTTTAGCATAATTTTTGTGAGATGGAAGGCAATGACTGAAATCCTGTTGCTTTGGCACAGATGTGGAAGATAACTGTGTAACATTAATTCATATCTGTTTTTGTTACAGGCTGTCAAGTCACCTCCAACTTACAGTGACCCTATGAAAAAGAAATTCTCAGGGTGGTGTAGTGGATAGAGTGATGGACTGGGACTTTGCAGAGCAGGGTTCGAATCCCCACTTGGCCATGGAAACTCACTGGGGAAGGAAAACTGATAAAACCACTCCTTAAAATATCTCTTACCTTGAAAGCCCTATTAGGATTTCTATAGGTTTATTCCAGAAAAAACATCTGCTTCATTGACTATGCAAAAGCCTTTGACTCTGTGGACCACAACAAACTATGGCAAGTTCCTAAAGAAATGGGAGTGCCTGATCACCTGATCTATCTCTTCAGAAAGCTATATGTAGGACAGGAAGCAACAGTTAGAACTGGATATGGAACAACTGATTGGGAAAGGAGTACAACAAGGCTGTATATTGTCTCTCTGCTTATTTAACTTATATGCAGACTACATCATGCGAAAGACTGGACTGGAGGAATCCCAAGACAGAATTAAGATTGCTGGAAGAAATATCAACACCTCAGATATGCAAAAAGTGCATATCTGATGGTAGAAAGTGAGGAGGAATTAAAGAACCTTGTAATGAGGGTGAAAGAGGAAAGCACAAAAAATGGTCTGAAGCTCAACATCCAAAAAACTAAGATCATGGCCACTGGCCCCACATAAAGAAAGCTGACTGCTGAAAAATTGATGCCTTTGAATTGTGGTGCTGGAGGAGACTCTTGAGAGTGCCCTGGACTGCAAAGAGAACAAAGCTATCAGTTCTGAAGGAAATCAACCCTGAGTGCTCACTGGAAGGACAGATCCTGAAGCTGAGGCTCCAATACTTTGGCCATCTCATGAGAAGAGAATGCACCCTGGAAAAGACCCTGATGTTGGGAAAGTGTGAAGGCAAGAGAAGGGGACGAGATGGATGGACAGTGTCATCGAAGCTACCAACATGAATTTGACCCAACTCTGGGAGGCAGTGGAAGACAGGAGGGCCTGGCGTGCTCTGATCCATGGCGTCACAAAGAGTCGGACATGACTTAACGACTAAATAATAATAATAGGTTCCAACTTGGTGACACGTGAATGAGAGTTCTCCAAAATGTCTTGTCTTCAACTGCCCTTCTCAGCTCTTGTAAACTCAATCCTGTAGGTTCCTTCAGGGAGTCAGTCCATCTCATACTTGGTCTTCCCCTTTTCTTGCTGCCTTCCATGTTTCCCAGCATCATTGCCTTTCCAGAGAATCCTGCATTCTCATGATATGGCCAAAGTAGGACAGCCTCAGTTTCCAGTTTATTGCCTCCAGAGTTAGTTCAGGCTTGATTTGATCTAGGATCCAATTGTTTATCTTTCTGACAGTCTAAGGTACAGTGGTGCCTCGCATAGCGATCACTCCGTTGAGCAACGAAATCGCTTAGCGATGGAGTTTTTGCGATCACAAAAGCAATCGCTTTGCGATGGTCCCTATAGGGTTTTTTCGCTTTGTGATGATCACGGGGAAGCGATCAGGGCAAAGCAACCCTTTTTTAACAGCTGATCAGCAGTTTCAAAATGGCCTCTGGGAAAACAAAATGGCCACCCGCTGTTTTTCCTCGCTTAAGAGGCAGCGAAAATGGCGGCGCTATGGAGGATTTTTGCTTAAAGGTGAGGTTTTAGGAATGCATTAATCGCATTTTAATGCGTTTCTATGGGCTTCTTAATTTCGCTTAGTGATGTTTTCGCTTAGCAACATTTTTTTTCCGGAATGGATTAACGTCACTAAGCGAGGCACCACTGTATCTGCAAAGCTCTTCTCCAGCATCATATTTCAAAGAGATTTTTTTTCCTGTCAGCTTTCTTAACTGTCCAGCTTTCACACACATACATGGAGATCACACATAAAATTCTGCCCATAGCTGATGGCCTAATCTTGCCAAGGTATTCTGTTAAGCCATGCTGAATCAGGCCCTACAAGAGGCACGTGCCAGATCCAATTGTACCTGCTACCTGGGAAAGAATTAACCTAATGCACCTCCTGGAAGGCTTTGGCAGAAGCCATCTTGTGTGCAAACCGCACACACCCCTGCTCCTCTTAATCAAATTCAAAAGCAGCTTCTACCAAAGTGAAACATTTCTGGCCAAGCAATTGATGAGGCTTCCTGAAAGAGACAACTTGAACTTCTAATCTTGAGAAAGGGAGAGTGACCCTGGGAGAGAGTGATGATTTCAGCTAGAAATGGGCATGAACTGCCAATTTAGCAGCTTGTGCCAGTTTGTTTAGTACATGTTTGGCACTTCAAAAGCCCACCTCCTCTGGTGGATACTCAGAGGCAGTGGCCTGGCTTCCTTGCCTCACCTCCTCTGGGTGCTGCCTCTGATTGGCACCTGCCAGAGGAAGTGAGGCTTTGAAGTGCCAAACACCTGTTCAGCTGTTAGACAGACTGGCACAAAATGCCAAATCAGCAAACCAGACCTTACCTTTCACTGTTCTGAGTTCATTAAAACTAGCTTTCCTAGTGTCCAGTGGATACATGTGGCTATGCTCTGTTTTTGTTTCCTTTGAGATTAAAACATCAATCCCAGGGAAAATTCTGGAGCAGATTAAAGAACAGTCACTGTGCAAAGCACCTTGAAAACAATGCATTAATAATGAGAAGCCAATACGGAGTTGTTAAGAACAAATCATGCCAAACTAATCCAGTTTTATTCTTTGATCATGTAACCTCGCTGGTAGACAATGGGAGTGCTGTAGATATAATATATCTTGATTTCAGCAAAGCCTTTGACAAAATGCCCCATGATATTCTGAGTGGCAAACTAACTAGCTGTAGGCTGGATAGAACAACTGTCAGGTGCATACACAGTTACAGAATTGTACTCAGAGGGTGATGACTAATGGCTCCTTCTCGAACTGGGAGGAGGTTACTACTGAGGTAACCCCAGGGCTCAGTGATGGTCCAAGAGCTATTCAATATTTTTATTAATGACCTGGATCAAGGGATACAGGAAATACAAATCAAATTTGTGGATGATACAAACCTGGGTGGAATAGCTAACACCCTGGAAGATAATAATAAAATTCAAAATGATCTAGATAGGCTTGAGCACTGGGCTAAAAACAGAATGGGATTTAACAGTGAGAAGTTCAAAGTAATGTACCTTGGAAAAAGAAACCAAATACACAGTTACAAGATGGGGGATACCTGGCTCAGCAATGCTATGAGCAAGAAGGATCTTAGAATTGTCATAGATCACAAGGTGAATATAAGCCAACAGTGTGATGTGGCTACAAAAAAGGCAAATGCATTACGATGCATTAACAGAAATATAGTCTCCAAATCCTGTGAGGAACTAGTTCCCTTCTATTCAGCTCTAGTTAGGCCTCATCTTGTGTACTGTGTCCAATTCCGGGAAACATACTTTAACAAGGATGCCAACAAACTGAAACAAGTTCAGAGAAGGGCAACAAGGATGATCAGGGGGTTGGAAACCAAACTCTATGTGGAAAGACTGAAAGAACTAGGCCTTGAGAAAAGAAGACCGAGGGGAGATCTGATAGCACTTTTGAAAAAAATTTGCAAGATTGTTGTACAGAGGAGGGGCACACAACAATGGGCCCAAGTTACAGAAGCCAGACTTCAGTTGAATATCAGGAAAAAACCTAACTGTTCGAGCAGTACAACAATCAAACCAATTATGTTGGGAGGTGATAAGCACTCCAACGCTGGAAGCATTCAAGTGAAGATTGTACAACCACCTGTCAGGTCTGCTTTAATTTGAATTCCTGCATTGAGCTGGGTGTTGGACTCAGTGGCCTTATAGGCACTTTCCAACTCAATTATTCTATGATTCTAGTTTCAACGATAACACAGTACAGACTCTTCAGGCAGGCTTTCCTTTAAATAACTGGTAGACCAGGGGAATTTTTTTAAAGGGTTATCATATTCTGTTGTTTTACTTGGGTTTTTAATATTGCTCTTAATTATAAGCTTTAATATATTGCCTAATTCTTTTTGATATTTGTGACATAAGTTTCCCATCCAGCTGACAAACGTCCTTCTCAGGCCATGATCCTCTCGCAGGGTATGCCCCTTTCATCAAGGAAAAAGCCTTGTCTCCAACCAGCAGACGATTACAGATAAAACTGCCTACTCTTCCAAATGCTTGAAGCGCTAGCCTGTCTTGGTGATGGTCAAAGATACTGTTTTATCTCTGAACTACAGCACAGCTGACTGGAAAACAACTGTATCCTTTGACCAGTTCCGAGACAGAAGAAGTCTCATTCAGTGCTGGCAGGCTAGAAATCTGATTGGAGTTTGATAGAGAATAGTGGCTAAGGAGGTCTTCCACAATAGTGACTAGGAAGAATGTTTCCTCTCAGTTGAACTGTATGGATCAATAGAGAAGGTAGGGCTGGAAGGACAGTATGACAGGTGTATGTATGAACAGTATGAATTGCAAGAAGTCTTGCTGACGTATATGTGAATAGTGAGAGAGAGAAGGAGAGAAACAGACATTAACTCCCACCTTGAGTCCTTTTGGAATAAATAAATAAATATAAAGACTTTAAATAAATAAATATAAATAAGTAGCCCAGTAAACAATAGACTGATGTTTTGTGATTATTAGAAAACTACAGGCTTGAATTTACAAGAGCTGAACCGGGCAGTTGAGGACAGGACATTTTGGAGATCAATCATTCAGGGAGTCACCATAAGTCAGAAGCAACTTGATGGCACATCACAACAACAACAACAGGGCTAATGGTTTGTGATTCATGGACTCATAGAATCATAGAATGAGGAAGGTGCCTATAAGGCCACTGAGTCCAAGCCCTGACTCAATGCAGGAATCCAAATCAAAATTGTCTGAGTTTCTCTTGAATGACTCCAGTGTTAGTGCTCACCGCCTTCCAAGGTACTTGGTTTCATTGTTGTACTGCTGTAACAACTGAGACGTTTTTCCTGATATTCAACTGAAATCTTGCTTCCTGAACTTGAGCTCATTACTACATGTCCTGCACACTGGAATGGCTGAGGACAGATCATGTCGTATGGTTGTTGTGGTTTTTCGGGCTCTTTGGCCGTGTTCTGAAGGTTGTTCTTCCTAATGTTTCACCCGTCTCTGTGGCCAGCATCTTCAGAAGACAGCACTCTGTCCTC